GAGCTGGTAAATGTTTGTGTTTTTTTACAAATTAGGTATATTTTTGTTTTAGAGGAGAAATTGTTAAGACAAAGTTATATAGATGAATTACTTTTATGTGTGAAACGTTGGCAACGAAAACGAACGAATATTATTAAACAAAACGTAGTACCATTTACACTGACTGGCGACATAAACGATGCGTCGTTTCCAATGCCAATAAGCAACAAACAACCTTGGTGTAACTTTGATGAAACGCTTGTTGCTGAAAATGACAACAGCAATGACAAAAAACAGGTGGATTCACATGAAAATTACAGTTGGCTGATACCAAAATACAATGGATCTTGGTTTACACTAGAAGAATCGCATTATTACTATCAAGAGTTCATAGATAAAGATTCACTTAGACGACTGCGTCGATTAGAAGAACAGGTAAGAAATTCAATTCATTTGTCCAGTGAAAAATACCAACTCAATTACATAATTAATTTCACATCGAACTTACAATCCTCTTCTTTTTCTGTAGGGTGTGGATGTCATTGTGAGTATGAAATTCTATTTGACCACACCCACACGCTATATTCTTATTATTATATCGTTTTACCTATATCTGTATACATATAATCTAATAGCTGTACCCCAGTACCCATACACCTATACTTTNTGAAATGGTTTATGGCATTTGCCGGATGTAGAGTTGACTGATGTATATCAGCGAACCATATCTTATAACATAGTTTGAATCGATTCATTGTATTCTATTCTATTGAATGAGTATAGATCATTGGTGTTAACCATAGTTTTGAAACAAATACAACAGAAAACAGCAATCGTTTAATAAATCGCTTACAGTCATCGTATTGTTACGCTAATTGTTAGCAACCATTTTTCATGGTGACTGTTTTTGATGATCTTAATGCACTGTCAAGCTTCGTTTATGATTGCTTTAAACGAACATTCTAAACTGTTGACGGTTTTTTATCGGAAGCAATCGGGTTACGGCCATGTACGATGGTGAGCAATCGATCTGGGTTTTAAACGCCACACGCTTTTCTACATAATAGTTTCTACAAAACCAAATTATTGTATATGAATTTCATATTTAAACTTCATATGCTTTGCACTGACAAGTTTTTTGCTGAGACTTGCTCATGGAACCAAACATTAAACGCCTACTGTTTTCCCTCATATCAGAAGCAGTTCTAGCAAACCAAAAAGAAAAAGATCTTAACATATCACTCTAATGAGTGTAGATTTTAAAGAAGAATATTTTTGGTGTCAATCATATACTAGATAATCCACGACACGAGATTAGAAAGACGGCAATCATAAATAAAAATATATTTCAGTTTGTGGTTGATAACATGAGAAAATAAACGTACCAGTGATGAATATAAAACAGTTTGTTGAACCATGATCGTAAAGTACTTTAGTAGTTCTAGTTTTGTCAGTAGTGTCAAACTTCAAAATTGCTTTCAACTCAAGTTTCAAATTTCAATAGCCTAATATTTCTGTGGCACCCACATCGAGAGATGTGTGTATTTGAAAGTTGAACTGAATTTGACTTTCAAATATGATATTTATGTGAGTAGATTTGTGACCATATGCATCGCTGTCTATTTATTTATAGTCTACAACTCTACATGATAAACAAAACGAGCAGCAGTCCTCTCAAATGACAAAACGTGAAAACACGCAACAAAAAGTTGCCTTAACAGCATACACCAGTAATCAAGATATACACCGCAAGGTTGAACAACATCCAGATTTCGTTACAAAAATTAAACGAGGAAAAGTTGCCTGGGACATTACTGACGATAGACTCGTGAAACTAAGTACAAAACCCTATAGCAAGCGAGACTTGAAATGGTTCACACCGATGAAGCAGCGAGTTCAAAATACTAGAACCATCATTTTGGGAAGCAAAAAACGCTTTTCAATATGTGAGCGTTCATGGAACTATTATAAGAAAAAGCAGTTAGAAACTATTGAAGAGATCAATAAAAGCCAAGGTAATAATTCGGACCTGATACAACAACGTCGAATTGGTGATGAATTAAAAACAAAAGAAGAAATGGATAAACTCTTAAAATTAGATGATCCAAATCGAATCTGGCGAATACCAGAGAATTTTAGTCAAAAATTTTTTGAGCAAAAGAAAAAGAACATCATCGAATTTAAACAATTATGTGTAGAATAATTGGTAGCAAAACAAAAAAAGAAAAACAGAAAAGCAATAACGATGCTTAATGTAACATTTAACTTTTTTTAAATACTGTATTGACGATTAAGAGAAGCGTACAGTTTGTTCGCTCTGTTGAGCATGCACGATTTTTATTATAAGCGTTCTTATTCTTTCTGACACTATATGTTTCAGATAATATATCATCATGGAAAAGTTATTAGTGCGTCATTTATTATTAGTTCAGCAACTTCGGAAGCAAAAACCAAATGTTACGATTGAAACTGTTACAAGATTATTTGATGACATCGTGGATTTTCTAAATAGTACTGACCGTGACTCATATGGTCTCAGTATATTGACAACGATTTCTCATGAATTGGCAAGTATTCATACATTGAAATTATTCGACAATTCGAATATAATTGATCATGATTTATTCATATATATACGATCTACATTCGAGATGTTATTAGCAAAATCAAATTGCTTACCAAATGCAAAAATGTCACTTGAAGAAGAACAATGCTTCTATGCAATAAGTTATTTGATAGCACATTTATGTTTGTATCGAAATGAAACATTGGTTAACTTTTATTTACAGAGTACAACAAAACATCCACGGTAAAAAGAAAAGAACTCTGCATACATCAGAGATCAAATTTCATAATATACTTTTATAAATATTTATAGAGAATTTGAATTACCTATTGATCAGCATGTTACGGACAAAATTTCTTTAATCAATCATAGTCCACATGTGGAATTACGAAAGACGAAAATTATCGCCGATAAATTAATCAATAATTTAATGGATGAAAAACCAAGCACACTTCCTATTTCTGATTCGAATGGTTCTCACACCTCTGCTTGCGCTATCAAAAAGTCCTATGAAGACATATTTTTAACCAAACAAATTCTCGTGAAATTGGCTTGTTCAATTTCTGATTTAGCTGAAAATGAATATGGGCCATACCACGTTAAATATAAAGTTATTGATCGTCTTGTTCGTCTTTGCACAAAATTGACCGAAATTGATGTTGATTTATTGTTGCATCCTATTATACAATGCCTTCATTCGAAATTTTATTTAGCTATTTTCGATACAGTCAATCTTAGACAACCAATATTTGATCCTAAACAATCATTTTTCATTCGTGAATGCTTTAATTTTATTGATCAACATGGATATAAACAGCAAACGAAAATAGCTGAAAAGTTATGTAAACAGATGCTTGAAAATACTAAAGATATCTTTGCTAAGCATTTACCGATTGTTGTCGAATCGGATGAGATCAGTGAAAAGGCTGACATATATGCTAACAAGAAAAGTAAAGAAAAAGGAGCACGAATGCAAGCGCTATCTCATCATATTAAACTATTAAATTATTTTTCATTAACACCATCAACAAGAAAAGAATTTATCTCGCAAACAATTATCGATGATATTCTATGTATATTAAACACAGAATCTCTCATCGAAAGTGTTCATCAACATTCTCAATTATTTCACGTCGATGTTGGTGTTATTGCTTGGTCTCTTACTTTATTGTATAATTTGATGTTTGATAAAGATTTATTCAAAAAACTTAAAGAAAAAAATACTCTCCGTATCTGTGAACAATTACATACAGCTAAAGATGATACCATTCATTTTACATCACAAAATCTAATAACATTGTTGAATCAAGAAGAAGTCGATGAAATTCAAGATCCACATCGTTTTACCAGAGGTTATTTATATTATATTAAAAATACGCTTGGCCAACCGAATCAAACATTTCATGGAATTCAATTGGAGAGCACTTTAAAAACTTTTGAAAGTAAGCAAATTGTTCTTACTATGCAAGAAGTTCTTTTTCAACAGTCTAAAAACTTCCATTTCATAAGTGAATTCTGCAACATGAAAGATAGCACGTTAAAATTTGATATAGAATCAGACGAGTGTACCTTCGAAAATCGTTTTACTTTTTAAATAGAATAAGCCGAAGAATTGCCGACGAATCGAAAGTAACTTCGAAAGATCTTCTTGTGAGAACTGAAAGAATTAGATTATTATTGAATATATCATCTATTCAAAGTAATTTGGACGATGTTATTCTAAATACTTAATACAAAATCAATCAGAATGATACAGTATTTTATCTGTTCGTATTCACTCAATGCCAATTCTTAATATAATTTCGAACCAGCTGACTAATCACCGAAATCACAGTAAATTCTATTTCCCGCTGCAATATACTGACTTTGTAAGCAAATCAATCTGTTTTTCATCGTTTTTCAATAAGAAGATCTCTCGTGGTATTTTCTCTCTTACCGAATTAGTGAAGCAACTATTGTAAAACTTAGATAATCCATGAAAGTCGATGGGAAAATATCGTACATAATCAGTTTGTTTAAAGGATATTTTGACCTGCGGTCGCTCTGATTTTCATTGATTCTTTCGCTATAATCAGGTTTTTAACGTGCACATAATACATTTTCTGATTTGCTCACTAAGTCTAACTTCAGTCGACTTCTATTTCAGTTTCATTTAATCTAATAAAATTGGCGTATTCCCTCATGAAAATAAAATTGCATTACAGTTTTTCTTTTAAATGACACATATTTTATAAACTTTAGCCATCTCTCAAAACGAAAATATCCAAGAAGAGATTGTCAACGATGAACAAGGTATTCAATTGCTGGCTGAATGTGTCTGTGATCCCAAACTCAACGAGAAAACTGTACAACAACCGGCTATGCGCATAATATTTACTATTTCGTTTGTTGGTGAACATGCTATTGAAAAAATTAAAGAGATCGATCAATTAATGGAAAATATTGTAAAAGCTACTACATCAACTGAAATTTCTAAAGAAAGAGCAGCAAATGGCATCATGTGGAATATTGAGAATGAACAAAAATTCATTGAAAAAACAATCAAAGAAGAAAATAAAAAAAAAGAAGTGAAACCACAGTTGATAAGACCGTCGACACCTCCACCATTATTACAAGCAAAAATTTCGAAAGATATAACGAAACTAGAAGATGCATATAAATATATTCCAGGTGATTACCAAGGATGGGACAATTTATTATCTCAACCATCAAAGTCAAAACCAGCTCCGAAAGAACCAAATAAACCAGAAATATTTGATTTAATGATTAGTTATTGCCATGCACAACGTGATATATGCCATCGTTTGTATGACTGTCTTGTGAATGATCAATTTCATGTGTGGATTGATAAAGAAAATATGTACGGCTCAGTACTTGAATCAATGGCTGAAGCCATTGAAAGTTCGGATGTCATTCTTATGTGTATGTCAACTAAATACAAAGAGTCAAATGCATGTAAATTAGAAGCTAAATATGCATGGAAACGAAAAAAGAAAACGATACCAATTAAAGTTGAAGAAAAATATGATCCCATTGGCTGGTTAGGAATATTGTGTAGTGATGACTCTTATATTGACTTTATGAAACTTGGCTTCGATAAAGCATACAAAGAACTGTTGAAAGAAATAAGAATGATTCAAAACTCGGATCGAAAATAATCTTTTCGTATCTAACAAATCAGCTCAAACTGATAGTTTTTTCCTCTAGCATCAATCAAAATACTAACAAAATTTTTAACAATTAGTTGTTCCAAATTTTTAACTGAGTTTCAATTGATTTTGGAGTAAGTCATGCACATTCTGATGTGTTTTGATTTTGCTCAAAAGTATCATCTGATGGTTTGGATTTAAATGCATATAAAGTCTGCACGAGCGATCAAAGAGTCATAAACAAGATATGCATATGAATGAATTGCAACATGATTGTAGCGTTTTGAGAAAAAAAAACGAGCAAAAATAAATTTCGATTTGAAATATAATCAATAATTCATTTTATTGTACTAGATGAAACAAGAAAACAAATAAAGTCTCCATACTACCACTATTAGTACGGCCGAAACATCTGAGAATTGTTCAAAACCTATGAAAATGTTTGAATTTGGATTTTTTTGCATGTATGTAATATAACTGCAGAAATAGGAAAGGTTCGTAAAATTCGTTAAACATACTTGAAGCTGTAAGTAGAGAGAACTTGTTTACATGCCACAATATACGACCGAGAGTCAAAGTTCGATAAATCTGTACTATATAAAACTAAGTGTTTTTTATGCTATGCATTTATGATGTGACATCATCTGCACAAAATGAATTCCATAAGACAAATATAAAATCAGTTCGAAGTTATTTCGATAGCACCTGGGATAACAACTGAACTAATGTATCAACGTTATTTTTTTCTTACGAACCACAAGTTTTTTTATGCTGATATTTCCAAAGGTGATTGTTCACAATGAATCGATAAAATGATCAAGGTTTCATCTCAAACTGAAACACCAAAAGATATTATTTCATTGTTTTAATAAGCAAAAACAAAACAACTTTCTCTTCTTTTTTTTTACGTTATTTTTAATCACGTCTGACTAAAAACCGTGATGACTCGACGCAGATGTAAACCTTCTCTTGAGCCACATTCTCACTGTACAATCACATCCACATCATCTGATGAGCTAATGAAACATATCTATACCATATAAAATGAAGTGAACGAAAATATGACTCTTATATTGACTTTATGAAACTTGGCTTCGATAAAGCATAC